TACAGGCCACAGTTATGGACCAATCTTCACGAAATTTTGCAAGTAGGATGGGTTCTGGCCAATGAAAACCCTATTGTTTTTGGAAAAGATCGGTTAATATTTAGGGGATGAAATGGACCAAAAACTTTATTTTTGTCGGATTTTTGCATGGAGAAGCGGATCGGGCCAGAGAATAAGCATGCCTGTTTTGATAAAGATCGGTCAATATTTAGCGGGTCAAATGGACCCTAACTTTTGTGTGAAAAATGACAAAATTTGTATTCTATAGCGTATATATTTACCACTGAAGGACGTAGACCCGAGAAGTTGATAGTATATCCGAGAGGAGTGGTTGACCTTTAAATTGATACCAATTATGTTGTCGTAGGTACTCGGATGCGGGAGTTACACTTAAATATTTACAGGTGCTTACGTATTCATATATTATTTAGTAACCTATTACCACACTGGAGGGCGGAAATATAGCGCTGATCGCTTTGAAATGTTCCATGAGGTTCCAGTTATGGTCAAGGACAACGCCTAAAATGTTAGGTGATGATCAGATAATAACTTTTCGGACCGAAAATTTAATTATTTGTACTTTTCGAGTCGAAAGCCGAACATCACAACACAGCCCACGGTGAAGGGAATCTGGACAAGTAATTAGAGGGGCTGTACTGATTATTAGTAACATTTGCTGACCTCTAGTCGGTCAAAAGTGTGTAAAGATCGCGAAATATTGCCCAATCTCAGAATATAGAACCACCGAAATTTAGATTTTCATGGAAGTTGTGTAGGGTATCGTATGGTCGGCCCCGTCCGACTATACTGCTCCGCTCACTGGTTTTTTTCAATCGAATTGTCTGTAATTTTGTAGTTTTGTAGCAATCCTTCATACCAGAAATTGAGAATATTGACCCAAGGTTCGGAATAGCCCATATTACCATGGTAAAGCCTCCATATAAAAATACCGATCAATGTAAGGTATATTTAATGTTCAACATGAGAGTAAAATGGGACAAATATTTTTTTTATCTAGAAAATAGACGTACGGCCACACATGTCTATGTCGATTCAGCTAGTCAAGATATATGTCTAGGACTATAGATGGGTGCAGGATTAATACTTCGCGGCGTTGCAAGCTCTTGGTCCACACAAAGCTATAATACCCATAAAACATAGTTGTTTACGGTATAATTATACCGTTTACATACGATCTATAGAAACAACTTCTGATTGAGAGGAATGATTTGAGGTAAATGTAGGTCTAAAACTCTATCGGTATCCTCATTTGGGGCTATGCTCAATCATTGATTGACGTTGAAATTTTTTTGGTAGCAATTTTTTTTGATTTGGTAAACCATAATATTAAACCAGTGGGCGGATCTGTATAGTCTGACGTGCCGACCATATGATACCCTTCAGAACTACCACTAAAATCGAACTTTCTGCGGTTTTATATTTTGAGCCTGGCAATATTTCGCGATATTTGCATATTTTCTAAATCTTGTTTTCCCGAGGTGAATCTTTACACCATAAATATAAGTTTGGCCACTTTAGATTTTGGTTGATTCAACCCTCGGAATATTGACCGATCATCATCTAAACAGTCGTCCAAAGTATTTATTCAGATCCCCTTCACCGTGTGATGTGATGCCCATTTGACCCGCTAAATATTGACCGATCTTCATCAAAACTGTCATGCTTATTCTCTGGCCAGATTCCCTTCCTGGTGTAAAATTTCGTGGTGTTCGGGTCATAATTGTGGCATCTAGAGCGGTCAGAAAATGAGACAAAAAATAAAGTTTTTGATCCATTTCAACCAATAAATATTAACGGATCATTACCAAAAACAATATGGGGTCTTCATTAGCCAGAACCCACCCTACGTGCGAAATTTCGTGAAGATTGGTCGATAACTGTGGCCTGTATCGTGTTTAAAAATTATAATGGATAGACAGACGGACGGGCGGATGGTACACTTAAAGGTGGGTCTAGGACCAATATTTCGCGGCGTTATAAACTGCAAAAAGCTATAATACCCTGACAACATAGTTGTGTAGGGTAAAATTTTTGAAACTTACGTTGGAAATGCAGATAGGACCATTAGACTTTCTGAGTCGATTTATGCATGCCCATCCGTTCGTCTGGCCCAAGGACAAGTCCTATTGAAATTGAAGAAAATCGGTTTAGATCTAGATATAGCTCCCATATATATTTTCATCCGATTTTATTTAAATGGTGCACCAAACTCCCAAGGGTTGTCGTATAAATCATTTTCTAAGTCGATCCGTCCATCCGTCTGTTCATGTTAAATTGTAAACAGAGTACAGGTCGCATTTATGATCCGAATTGGATGAAAATTGGCATAGGTCACTTGTTTGGCCCAATGACGAACCTTATTGAAATTGGAAATCGGTTCAGATTTATATATAGCTCCCATGCATATTTTCGTCCGATTTTAGTCCTATTGAGGCAAAATTTGGCATAACGTATGGAATTGAGTCTAGGATGGGGAGTGTGTTTGTTTCATCGGAATCGGCTCAGATTTAGATATAGCTCTCATGCATATCTTCGTCCGATTTTAAATAAATGGTGCACCAACGATCCAAATGTTGACCGATTGGCACCAAATTTTGCACAACGTACTGAAGGTAGGTGGTATAATCTATCGTGTGCCGAGTTTAGTTGAAAACGGTTCAGAATAATATATAGCTCTTATAGGTAAATGGTGCACTAAAGGCCCAAAGTTAGGCCGCTTGGCAGACAATATTGCACATAACTGTACCTCCCATTATTCGGTATTTTGGGGATTTTTTTGCACGGATTTCAGACAGGTTGTTTCTAATTTGATATTTTGTGTGTTTCCAAATCGATTTTAAAGGTATGTAATGTCCACTTTAGGGTGGAGGGTATAAGAAGTTTGGACCGGCTGAATTTAACGACGGTTTCACTTATTTGTTGAACAATGTTGATATTTTTGTGGAGGAAGTATACGAAGAAATTGATATTGCTTCTTTTAAAAAATGACAAAAATTTGTGGGGTAGTTACCACAAGGGATGGGTCCGATATTCTCCTCAATACCTTCGAACTTGAAGTAAATATTAATATGTACAAAATGTAAATGAATTAAATGAGAATCAGGCAGTCGATCATTTCGGTATTCCTGAAACGGATTTGGTTTAAAGGCACATGGGATTCAAAATCGTTTAATCGATATTGCACATATTTGATCGTATCGTTAGTCTACTTAGGCTTAATAATCTAAATGTAATGGCCAGATTTTCAAACGGAATTTGCTGCAACATGAGAAAATATTTACATCATGGTAAAAATTGAATTAATGTATTTCATTTTTCTGGAACACCCTATTGTCTCCTTCTTGGTCTCCTCAAATCCACAATCATTATAACCTAAAGCAAAAAATGTGTACTGACATTTCCAAAACTATGGCTAACATGAGTGGCTGCATATAATTAGAAAGCCATGTTCAAGTAGTTGATGTTGTTGTAGTAAATTTCGTTGGACTCGTAGTAGTTGTTGGTGTTGTTATTAATGCAACAATTTTCGAGTTGACATTTGGCTGTAAGGGTTCTTGTTTTTGTTGTAATCACAATCCTTTGGTTCGTTCGCTGATTCATTCATTCCGCTGGATTCGCAACTAACAATATTCGCGGATGGGGATGAGAGTGGATGTGTGTGTGTGGGTGGATGGATGGATGTGTGAATAGGTGTTTGTGTTACATTTGATTACTTACGGACACCAAATGATTTAGATCTTCATAGGTGGGTGAAACGAAACGTAAACGCTGGTAACATATCTCATAGAGGGCCTCATTATCGATGCAAAATGTTAGGTCGGTATTTTCGCACAGTTGATGGGCCGACAATGTGGCATTGTATGGTTCGACAACAACTTCTGACACCTGACATTGCCGGGTGAAAAATGTAACGAACGAGTATGACCGAAATGTGGGGTGGGTGGTAGGTTATGAGATGTGGATAAATATGATGGAAGTGGGTGGATGTGTGAGATTGTACGGTGGATGAGTGTATGTGTGAGATATATTAATGACATGGTTAGTGGGTTGGGATGGATGTTGAGAATGTCACGCCATGCCAGGCCATATCCAGCCGTATGTCGTTCGTTATTGTTGCACAAATATTACGAATCGTAAAAATGTGTGTGTGTGTGCAATCAGCATTCGTTTAATTTCATTTCGTGTAGCAATTTGAAGAAACAACGACATCATCATCATCGTTAGCGTTGAGTATCATTTCCAGAATATGTGTATGCATTTGAAAGAGAGAGTGTAGTGTAAGCCAGAGAGAGAGAGAGAGAGAGAGAGAGGGGGAATGAAAAAGAGTGTTGCCATTGTTTGTTTGTGTTGAATTCACACATTCGCCAAATGCAAAACCCGAACGCATACATACAAACCCAATTGATGGTCGTAATGATGTTTACCCAATACATCATTGCAGCGAACATTCACACACACCGACACACATTTATACATATGCAATATATCATCATTATTGTTGTTGTGGTTGCCAATGATGTTGGCAAGTCGGCATTGAGTTGGTGGAATGTTAATCAAACCGAACCACCGATGATGGTGCAACATTGGCATCGTCATCGTCGTCATTATTGTCAGCGCGAATAGTAGCCATATCGGCAACATTAAGGAAATGTTAACGTTGGTGTTGTTGTTTTTGTCGTTGCCACATTTGTTGTTGTTGTTTTCCATTGATCATCATTTACCAAACAAGACGTGTATCATTATCATAAGTTTATAGGCATTGTAGGTGGCGGTGTTGTTGTTGTAGTTTTTGTTGCATACATTCCCGGCCATGACGTTTGCATGGGGTTTTGGGGTTGGTGGTAATTTCATTGTTGTTGTTGTGGAGCCGTGCATTTCACGCGATTCATTTCGATTTTTTTTTTGCGAAATGAAGGAATGCAAAGAGAGGGGGAAGAGAAAAAAGAGAAGAAAAAATAAAATCCATTAGTTCAACTTACAGACACCAAATGATTGAGATCTCCATAGGTGGGCGATGCCAGTTTCAGCGTACGGAAACAGATGTCATACAAAGCCTCGTTATCAATGCAGAACGTTTCATCGGTATTTTCGATAAGTTGATGAATCGACAATGTGGCATTATACGGCTCAACAACTGTATCGGAAACCTGATGAATGTAATGTGGACGACGACGAACAGATGAAGAAGTACACATTGCATTGTTACGAGGCAGGTACGACGGCAGACGCAACAATATGCATAATTACAAAATATATATATGTAACAGCGACAGGCATGGCAGGTATCCCCACATATCACAGGGTATGATTTTGTTGATTATTTCAACAATTTCGTGTTATATTGTTGCCCAATTCATATTTTTACCATGATTTAAAAAAATATATGCCACACGTTTGTAGGGTATTGAAATATGTAAAAGGCAACAATATTTTTTATAAATTATTGAAATAATACCGCAGAACATCGAGTAGATCAAGAGCAGATGTAACACCATTTTTAATCAATCGCATTAAGCAGGTTGCAGGTAGGCAGGCAGCAGCAGCAACAACAGCATTGTAGCGTAGCACAAGAAGTACATAAAGGCAAGATGTAATTAAGAAAGAAAAAGAATAAAAGAAAAAAATCCGTTAGTACATCTCATTTGCAATGTAAAATAATATTTAAATTACAGAAGAAAAAACGAAAGGAAAATATTTACTTAAAATAAGGAGAAAACATTCTGTTTTTATTTTTCCAGGCGAGAAAGGTTAAATTCATATCGAAGATAAAATTCTTTGAAAATTTCAACGAGAATGGTCCACAAAGTTTGTGTATAAAAAATATTTAAAAAAAAATATTTGATATTGGTGGCTATACCCCGCTCGATGGATACGAAATTTTGCACAGACTAGAAATATTTGTGTGTATATTTTACGAATATCTTCCACAAATTTTGGACACAGTACCAGAAGTTTAGGGTAGCGTGCCTTACGTCTTGTTTGAATTGCATTAACATTTGTTAAATCGGTTTAGATTAAAATATAGCTTCTATATAATTTTTTTGTGAATTTTAGATCACTTATACAACACATCGGATATATAGAAACCAATTTGGAGTAGTTTAATATAGGCGATACCATCCGTATTTGATCCTTTCCATTCTGGTTTCTGTAATTTGACATTTATGTTTCAAAGGTAAAAATCTATATGGGTATGCAAAATATCCTAATTATGAGTCCCGAACGGAATTCTAAAGGTCAAAACCTTTCTAAACTAAACACCTATAATTATCATTCAAAAGAGTGTCGGACAGGGTCGACCATATATGCTAACCTACACAACCACCATTGAAGTCTAACTTTCTACGGATCTATATTCCGAGCCTGGACAATAATTGTCCATATTTGCACTCTTTTGAACGAGAAGGGTCCAAAAACTCACCTCTCTTACACTGAAAATAAAAATCATAATATTCAAATTGTCATATTTTAAACACAAATGTCTAGACTCATTTGACCCCCTAACTATTGACCTATTTTTATCCATATAACCATTCCCAATAATAGACCAGGTTTCCTTCCCCGTGTAAAATGTGTTATGCCCGACTTATAATTATGTCCTCTAGACAAATTAGAAAACCAGATAAAAATAAATTTAATCCCCTATATATCATCTTTAGTATCCGTAGACGCATGTTATATTTTATATTCTCCAGATCTATATTCCGAGCCTGTACAATAGTTTTCGATATTTGCACTCTCTTGACCGAGAAGAGGCCATACTTCTTACCCTGAAAATTTTAATCATAATATTTAAATTTTCTTATTTAAACCACAAATGTCTTGGCTCATTTGACTCTCTAACTATTGACCGATTATTTTCAAAATAGTCATTCTCAAAAATGGACCAGATTCCCTTCTCCGTTTAAAATTTGTGATATTCGACTTATAATTATGTCCTTTAGACAGGCTAGAAAACCTGCCAAAAATAAAATGTTCGGTACATTTCATCCCCTATATATCATCTGATCCCTAACTTCTTAGCAATCAGCGCTATATTTCCGCCCTCTTTTGTGGTAATCGGTTACTAAAAAATATCAGTATCCGAAGACGTCTGTAAATATATATGTATAACTTCCACATGCAGGAAGATACATCACTATAATTGGTATCAATTTTATCATCAGTAACTCTTCTTGGATAACAGGTATATGTCCTTGAGTAGTAACTGTGTACAGATTCTTTATTTTTCATACAAAAATCTAGATCCATTTGATCCGGTAAATATTCACCGATCTTAATCAAAATTTGCATGCTTATTCCGTTCTCAGACCCACTTCTCTGTGCACAATTTCGTGATGTTCGGGCCATAATTGCGGCCTTTGGAGAGACACAAGGTAAGTTTTGGTCCAAAGAATAAGTATGACTGTTTTGGGTCAATATTAAGCGGGTCAAATGAACCCTGACTTTTGTGAAAAAATTCCAAAATCTGTATTCTATGGCGTATATACTATATTTACTCTGAGGACATATACCCGAGAAGTTGATAGGATATCCAAGAGGAGTGGTTGACCTTTAAATTTATACCGTATATACTCGGATGTGGATTTACACTTAAATATTTACAGCTTACGTACTAGAGGGCGGAAATATTTAAAATTTTCCATGAGGTTCTAGTTATGATCAAGGACAATGCCTATATTTTTCGGTGATGATCGGATAATAATTTTGGGATGAAATGGGTCGAAAACTTAATTTGTTTCTAGTCGATCTATAGGCCACAATTATAAGCCGAACATCACAACACAACCCACTGAGAAGGGAAACTGGGGAAAAAGAAATCCATTATGAAAATGTCGATAAAATCGAAGTTGATCGGCATGTTAACTGTCGTAATATCGCCCAGGAGCTAAAAACCGACCATGAAACTGTTTTAAACCATTTACAAAAAGCTGGATTCAAAAAGAAGCTCGAAGTACCACACCAATTAACAGAAAAAAATAGGATGGGTCAAATTTTCATTTGCGAGGCTTTGCACAAACGGAATGAGATAAACCCATTTCTTAAACGAATGGTGACTGGAGATGAGAAATGGATCACAAACGATAATCCTATGTGAAAACGATCGTGGCCAAAGAGAGGTGAAGTACCTCTAACGGTGGCTAAACCAGGACTAACGGTCAGGATAGTTCTGCTATGCATTTGGTGGGACTGGAAGGGGATTATTTATTATGAGTTGCTTCCATATGACCAAGTGCTAAATTCTAATCCCTACTGTCAACAATTGTCAACCATTTGAAGGTAGCAATTGACTAGAAACGGAGGATTGTGAAAATCGACTAGAGATCAGGACTTCTATGAGAGAAGCATTATGAAGTTTCCTTTAAAATGACAACAACTCATACAACAAAACGGTACATATTTGGCCCAAATCGAACATTCCGAAGCAGGATAAATAAAGTCCTATAGTTCATATAAAAATAATGGATTTTTTCCTAACCTACCTACCTAATATTTAAAAATAAGATTAAATAATAAATAACACTATGCAGAAGAATCTAGGGTTCTGGTGGTGGAAAATTTCTTATGAGGATTAAAACCCATGGCAAGTATATAAGGATTCTTGAAGCAACAATTCGGTCACGTTTTTGAGTAATGGTGTGATGCATTTTTTGTTGGTAAAAGTTTATGAAGAAAAATCGTTATATGGTTGTTTGAGGTGATTGCAGGTTATTTTAGATATGTCATATCATCAGTCAAATCAAATGGGGAATATTTTTGTAAGACATATCCTACTTCCATCTAGATTCGTTGTACGTAATTTTTGTTCTTATTTCCTTGAATCCAATTTTTCTTGCATTCTAAATACCACAAGACGACATGTTTTAATCTCCAAATATACCATAAAATTGTCGCTCATGAGCTTTTATATAGGCCATCAAAGATATGAAATCAGTATTCGTATGTTTTTATCGCCTTTTTCAAAATTTTCAAATTTACCCTAACCTATACGTAAACTATATATATTTCGGATAAATTATTAGTATTTATTTGAGGGAAACAGACCCGAATCCCAATGTTTGCAACCAGATTTTTAGCCATATTTTGTACAACTTTAAATCAACCGATAAACCTAACATATAACATAAAGGACCTATGGGAGCCCTTCAATTACGAACGAGGATTTAGACAAGGTGACAGTTTGCCGTGTAATCTTTTTAAAATCCTGCTGGAAAAGGTGGGCAGAAATGGCACTCCGTACACCAAACAACACATGTTATTCGCCTACGCCGATGACATCGATATAATGTGTGCGTTGCGAGTGGTAACAGTCACCTTTAAACAAACTGAGAAGGAGTCTGCCAAAGTGGGTCTGGCAGTAAACGGCAAGAAGACTTGGGGTGTATGAAAGAAAAATTCTCCGAAAGATCTACGGACCGATCTGCGTCGACGGTGGATATCGGCGTCGAATGAACTATGAGCTTTACAATTTATACGCGGACATCGACATAGTCAGTCGTATTGAGCTGCAGCGACTATGGTGGCTAGGCCATGCTATGCGGATGAATGAGAATGCCCCAGCTCAAAAGACATATAAAAGCGAACCAACTGATGGTTCCCGTAGAAGGGGAAGGCCACGAATTAGATGGAAAGACCAAGTCGAAAACAACATCTTGGAACGTGGTCTCTCAAACTGGCGGAGATGCTCACAAGACCGACGCACTTGGAAATCTTTTTATACCCTTCACCACTCTATGGTACAGGTTATTATGTCTTTATGCATATGTTTGTAACAGGCAAAAGGAAACGATGCATAGAATCACTTTTTAAGACGATCTATGCATGTCCGTGCGTCCGTCTGTCCATGTTAAATTGTGAACAAAGTACAGGTCGCATTTAGGATCCGAATTGGATGAAATTGGGCACAGTTCATTGGTTTGGCCCAATGACTAAGCCTATTGAAATTGGAAAAAAACGGTTCAGATTTAGATATAGCTTCCATATATATTTTCGTCCGATTTAATGTATATGATGTACCAAAGTCCCTATATATCTTTCGATTTGCTGGAAATTTGGCACAGCGTACTGCATTAGGTCTAGAATGATGTGTGTTTAGTTTCCTGAAAATCGGTCCAGGTTTATATATAGCTCCCATATATATATATATATATTTTCGTCCGATTTTATGTAAATGCACGAAATTTGGCATAGCGTA